ACTAAGTACTGCAAGAGGAACATTGCAGTCCTGTATTGCAAAATTTAAATAGCAACATAGATTGTTGGCAAAGGTGAATCGCTGGGGCTGTCGGTAGCAGCAAAAAAAAAGCCAAGTTCATGCTTTCATGCATACCTGGCAAAATGACTGTCCCTGTCCCAAAATGACTCGGGTTGTATGTCCTGAATATCTGCTACAGAGTGGTTGTCCAACTGGCAGGGAGGGGACAAAGCTATGGTTGAGAGTTCATTCTTCTTCAACTTTGCCGCTCTTGCCATAGTTGTCAGTCGATGTCTCTTCAGCTTAGATCTCGAACCAGTACTCTTTGTCAATTCTTTAGTCGGATGCATAACACTGAAGTAATAGCAATAGAGACATAAAAAAATTGTTAATAAAAAGAAAACAATATCATAAACAAGGCAACTGGTATGTCAAAAAAAGTTGCAAGAATGAAGACACATAATTGAAAATAACCAAATATAATGAATAGAACATTTTTAATTTCGTAAGCCCAATAAGAACTAAATAGGTACAGTGCCTGTAAATTGTAAAATAGATCCAGTCAATATCAATAGTCCTATATAGCCTATAAATATTTAAAATATGTCTCCCCATGTAGTGTATTCATAGTATGAGTATATGATAATATGCACTAGTACTATTTATAGTATTATGGTATGATTACAATTACAATTAATTATAGTATAGTGTAGCCTACTAGAAATAAATCGTTAAACTATTATTAATTAAAATATTTTAGTATTATTATATAATATGTACATTTAGTTTGTAATGAGAGTCAACAGGTCTAATGTAGTACGTGATTTGACTAAGTTTACTAAGTTTACTGACTCGGTCTAGCAGTGGCGTCCTAAGTCTAACTAAGCCTAAGCCCTAAGCTTAGACCACACAATTACAAATGAACGAAAGTATAATACCAAATTCAATTATAAAAATATCATATACAAATTAATCTTACCGTATTTGATGAAATCAATTGAAAAATAATCAAATCCTAAAACAGTAATGCAAATTTTCACTTCTCTTTGTTTACATGTAGTCAGGGAAGATCACGCTTCCGTAAAGGACAATGGCGGACATGGACCAATCAAAATGCAGAGAATCGTTTATAACTACGAATTGGCCAATCATCTACTTTTGTGCACATGTGATACACATGTTTTGTTTTTTTTTGTTTTTTTTTTACTGAATGGTTATTTTAAGATCAATTAGTCATCGGAATGGCATTCTTAATACGATGATAAGCTTCAATGATGCCAAACTTGATAGAATCGATCCGGTGGATTCCGCGCCATCAAGTGTTGAAGAATAGGTCAATTGGGGTTAGGTGTGAAGAAAAACATAGACCCCCAACCCCTTCAAATCACAACTATTATGTTAAAATTATTTAATTTTATAATTTTTACCTTATTTAATGATAATAAAGATATTAATCTAACATAAAATCCAAGTTTTGAAGAAATCGATATTTTTTCAAATTTCGATTATTTTGTGATTCGTGGATTTAAAAAAAAATTAAATTAATATAGTTTTTTTTAGAATGGATAAAATGTGATGCATATTGGTTAGAATAAATTAATATTTCTTATTTTAAAAAAATAAATATATTTGACGATTAAAGCTTAAAATAATGTTTGCTGTGTCCCCTATAATGTAAGGGCAAGGGTCATCTAATTATAGATCATTAAGATATACAAACAGTGAACAGAGTTCAGTGAACAGAGTTCACCGAAAATACCAAGCCGAAAATCCCACCACAACCGTCATTTTATCGATGTCCGTATTGAAAACACCCTGCTGTCATCCGAGAAGAGAAAGACTTAAAAAGCCAGGGCCTATACTACTATTATAATGAATAATGTGTGACCTGTCGTATGCCGTCAACTCAAGATCACTGATGGATTATAAAGTTAAAGTGAGTAGCCATTAGGCATTAATTCAAAATGTTATATTACCGGTATACTATTTATACATGTAACTGTAACCTACTAACTATTACTACTAAGAATTAATTAGTATGAGTGATTTCTGATGACTGGTAACATTAACTCTTTCCCTCTGGATCAACGCTCCCATCGTAGATTTGAAATGAAGATTTTTGCGTATAGGATCGTCGATGTATAAAAACGTGTTTATTTCGGTTCTTTTGTTAGCTATTGGTATTTAGTTATTTTAAATCAATTCTTGATTTCCCTTTCATAAATATCCGGTTTTATTGTGTTTGAACGAAGGACGAATTGTTTGAAGCGGTTGAAATCTTGACCTGACCCATCTGGTGATCGATCTAATAAAGATGGGAAATATTACTCTGAGGATGATTCAATCAGTGATTTTTATGATTTCAAATGCAGAGGCTGATTCTGTTTAATCGTATGATTATAATACTACTACTAGTATTAGTATTTAGTAGTACTAGTACTGCTCTTAAAGATAGTTTAGTTTATTAATGATCTGTTAGTTTGTTCTTAAAGATCGATGAGTTTATTCATAAAGATCGCTTAGTTTGTTCTAAAAGATCACCAATTTAATCTTAAAGATCGTTTAATTTGTTCTTAAAGATCACTTAGTTTGTTGTTAAAGATTGTTTAGTTTGTTCTTAAAGATCGCTTAGTTTGTTGTTAAGGATCGTTCAGTTTTTAGTTAATGATCACTTTATTTGTTCTTAAAGATCGGTTAGTTTGTTCATAAAGATTGCCTGGTTTGTTGTTAAAGATCTTTTAGTTTGTTGTTAATGATCGGTTAGTCTGTTCATAGAGATCACTTAGTTTGTTGTTAAAAATTATTTATTTTGTTTTTTAAGATCGCTAAGATTTTTCTTAAAGATTCTCTTAGTTTGTGTTAT